GCTCTAGAAGGATGTGACCCAGTAAAAGTGCACGAAATCCCATATGTGTGAGTCACAGAGACCATGAAAATAAATTCTTATACCAAAAGAAGCAATACTCACCAAGATTTGAAAATATGCTATGAAACAGATGGCTCTTTCTGAGGAGGAAATGCTGCAGAACCAGACAGAATTGCAAAGCAATTGTCTCCATGTCAAGATGAAGGCCTGCCCAAGTATAGTAGGCTTGTTCGAGGAGGAAATGTATACCCCCCAAGACCCTGGTGACAAGGAGGCACAGTGCGAGCAAACCTCTACACAGGAGGGTCCTGCTGTCCTTTCATATGTTCAAGTCAACCTCAGGATGGAATTGAGGCTGAGGCTGAGCAGTTTCCAAGCAGCAACCAGGAATATGCACCTGGACTTGCAAAATACAGGTTGAATGTGCTAGCAAAGACCTAACAATATGCAGGGGCTCCACAGTGGGTGCAATGTGGCGTCAGGTAGCTCCTGCAAAACACAAGGCCTTCTTCAAAACACATGCTGTCATGATGTGTTTGGTAATACATGTAAGGTTTCCAGATTTACAGCACTATTCATCCTGGTGGCAGAATTTGGGTTCTTGTAATATGGAATTTAACTATTTTCATGTAGGACTCAAACAGCCCATAGGATAGGACAGTTATAAGTCAGTTCATTTTTATCACTGCATCTCTGACGGCGGTCTCTTTTTTAAAGGAAAAAAATGCACATGGCTAAAGTTCTGTGCAGATTTAGAAGGAACAAGATCCACTGAATGTAGCAAGGTAGATTTCAGCGTATGTATGTTTAGGATTCGGCTTGTAAGGAACCCTTGCATCTCTTTTACTTTCAACCCTTCCTAGCCTACGCTTTCTCTATGTACTTTCTACATCTGGAATTAAAGACTTTTTGAATCCCGCCCGCCTCCAAATGCTGAATCTGGTCCACAGCATCTGTCAACCAGTCTCTTCCCCTCTCCAACTAATGCTGATGCAAAACCTGGACATAAAATGTTGAATCAACCATGCTTAGCTTCTGTCAAAAGAATTTATGAGGTGGCAATGTTCAAGAATGTTTTGATGTCTTTTAGAAATGCTCAAGGGACTTTTAAGCCTCATGGTGAAACTGCAGTACTGCAATTAAGACTCTGCTCATGATGTGAGTATGATCCTGACGGGCTCAGATAGCTGGTTTGAAGTTGACTCAGCCTTCCATCCTTCTGAAGTGTGATCCTGATGGGCTCAGATGGCTGGCTTGAAGTTGACTCATCCTTCCATCCTTCTGAGGTTGGTCAAATGAGCACCCAGGTTGCGGGGCGGGGGTGAGCAATGTGTAGCCTGAACATTTAAATTCCAAACTACCCAGAGAGTGTTTCAAGTGCTATGGGGCTGTATATAAACCGCATGCTTTGCTTTAATATATAGTGGTGAATTGTTATACTGACTGATACTTGGCATGTTGTGAGCCACCTTGGACATTGTTAATGGGAAAGCAGAATGCAAACAAATGAATGGGGTAGTCAGAGTCCCAACTAAATCCCTTCTGAATCTGGAGCTTTCTATCTCATCGCATTATTTCATGGATATTGGGGTAGGTGAGTGGCAGGGTGTAACCTATTCCAGGTCTCGCTGCTACTACTGTGCCCATCTACACATCTCTACCTCTTCAGGTTCCTGGCTAACAACTGGGACAGATTTTGGCCACAAAGTCACTAACTGTGGTCACCTAATATAAATCCACAATAAAGGATTTTTTTAAAAAAGGTGTGTGTGGGGGGGCTATATCTGATTGATATATACTGTATTTTGACCATCAATGCATGAAGTCAAATTATACATTCACATTCACACATGCTCTTTTTCTTCTTAAAAAGAAATTCCAAACACCTTTGCATATGTAGAATTTGGCACACTTGTTAGTTTCTGGGGTATGTTAAACAAAAGCAAACAAATATATTATTTGAATTTCTAATCTGAATGTTACCATGTAAACACACACACACACAACCCCATCATATCTGAGTATGTAAAGCTATGCACCAGATCATGACAACATAAATGCATACTTCGAATCAATCACCTTGGAAACATTCTGCAAGAGTCAAGCTTGCCATTCTATTTTGAAGGAAAACTGCAATTCTAGTCTCAAACTACAGGTCCCAACTTTGAATGCCATATGTAGGTCTGATATAAAATCTTCACTTTATTTCACAATAGAGAAAAAATGTAGTCATATAAACTGAAAAACTAATTGCCTCTCACTTCAATGATACTTCTGTTGAGATTATACAAAAAGAAATGACTACAAGGCACTAATGCTTCCACAATTAGAACACCAGCATCTCTATTAAAAACAACAACACGCTCCTACTGAAGAAAACATTAAAGCTCTTAACAGTTACATACACAACCAGCTTGCATCTCTACCTATTCCTAAGTATCAAGACAGATATAAAATCTGTAGACTAGTGGGGCCAGGGTATTTAATCCTTTCCCCACCTGCTGCTTCCCCATGCATCCATTCCATTCCAGCTGCTTTTCTCCATGATGTACAAACAATTGTCTGGAATTGAGTGGAGATGAGAAGAATAAGGGAGATCAGTGCAGGGAATCAAGCACCCCTTCCCCAATCCAACGTCTTTTCTCTAGCAAAAAACATTCCTCTCCATGGCAACTCTGCAGATATTTGATGGGAGTTATTTCTTCATTGATCTCTGTTTCTCTTTTTATTCCCCCACCCCACCCCCATATCAGGTCCAACTGAAGCCATAATCCACTCAGGGCTAAAAGTCCTAATGGATCCCTCTAGGACTACTTAGGTATCCCACTAAAATCAGTGCAGTTTTAGACACAGGTGGCTGATAATCCTATGCTACTAAAGGAAGGTACGCCCAGCTTCTGCAAAAGAACTGACATTAGCAAAGAAGGGTCTGCACAATTTCTGCCTTTGAACAAAAAAGCGCCCTGTGCTGCACATGGAAATGGCTAAATGAGTTTGCAAATCCAGTGCTGTGCTTCAAAACTCTGAGCTTTGGCTAGATGGCATTTTCAGTTGTGCTTTAATCTCTTCTACCTTCCCCACAAATCATAGAAACAGAACAATTAACTACTATTCAAGTTCTCCAACAATAATGTACTGATCACTGTACCATCAGTATCATAATGTATTTCTTATAGCATATTTATACTATAAAATCCAACCAGTTTAACCAGTTTCTGGGAAGACTGTAACACTAGATAATTCTCCCCACTCTTTCTCCAAAACGTAACTTGCAGATTTCTTTAGGAGACGCCCCAACGGTGCAATTTATGGAAACATTACAAATCTTCAGCAGAAACATCAATTTGAAAGGTTTTCACAAAAAAAGAGCTTAAAATTCCCCGTACAGAAAGGAAGTCTGTATAAAATAGTGAACAATCTTCTCAACAGCTGGGGAGCAGGACAGGGTGCCTTATGATATCACAGCAATTATTAGACAGGGAAGAGAGAGAAGAATTAAGTAAAACTACCAAGGAACTAACTCCTCCATTCTAATCCATGCTTCTTTAAGATAGAAAGACTTTCAAAATCATTCTTATAAAACAAACCATGGTTTGCCTCCCAAATAAAATGTTGTTCTACATTGCCTTCTACTGGTTCTTAGAATAAAACACTTCCAATATGTATAAAACAAAGCTGGGGGGGAAGGGAGAATAAAAATTAAAATAAAACCAAACATCTATACTAATCTAGAAAAAGTTAATAACTTGAGTCATGGGGGCGGGGGAAGGATTCATACATTACCCCACTGCAAAAAAGCCTAGGGCAATTACAGATTTTGGAGTCTATACTGGGTCATAAGGAGATGACATTCAAGGCAAACTGGGCTTTAGACTGGATTTCAATGAGATTTTGGGGCTTAACTGTGAGTAACATTTCTTGATGTCATGTAAAAGTCAGTATCACACCCAAGTGGATATGTATTTAAGCTTCTCTTCAGGCACTTTGTTAAATCACTTTGTTGAAGACAACACGATGTAAAGCTGTAAAATACTGATATCTTGTGCTCTAAAACAAAAATCAGCGAAGCCAAGCAATACAGAGATGAGACCTCTTGTTGGCAGCCCACCTTTCCTTTTGCAACTCTGTTAGCTACCAATGGACATGATCCAAATGCTACTGCTGCACGTTTGCAGTTGAGTTTCATAGTGCCTGGATTGGGTTTCTCCACTGGAAAGAACCAAAGATGTTCAGGCATGCTTGGGGAATCATGTTTTGCACTTGTTTCACTTATGGGATGCTTTGGCATGATAATAGCTGACTGTTCAAAGCAAGCAAGCCACAGACACTAAAAAGTTCGGAAAAGGAACCCTGTTCCTTCTTGGCCATTTTGAACACGACATTTCAACATTAATTTTTCGGGGAGGGGGGAGCCTGCCTTTCTGCTCAGTATTGCACTTCGTTTGTTCATGTATATCCACACAGGGAAACATGACTCATAGCTCAAGAACACTTTTGAAGTGTTTCTGACAAACAATTCAGGGAAACATGATGGGAATAAAATTTCTAAATTTTTAAGCTCAACACCAAAATCACTAGCCTTGAATTGCAAAAAGGGCAAAAGAAAATGTAAGATAGTAGTAGAAGGAGAAAAGGCCATAGCCCAGTGGTAAAGCACATTCTTTCTACATAGAAGGTCCTCGGTTCAATCCCTGCCACCTCCAGTTCAAGGATCTCAAACTGTAAAGTTTGGAAATATATGTATCCCCCCAAAAACCCATTTGCCAGCCAGAAGAGATAGTAAAGGGCTAGACAGAAAAACCATCAGACCCAGTGGAAGGCAGCATCATAGCAATAAAGATATCAGTGATCTATAGCTGCTATAGCTCAGCAAGAGAGGACATGCACAAGGTTCTGGGTTCAATAGCTTCCATCTCTCCAGTTAAACTACTTCAGGCAGCTAAGCCAAGGGCAACCTCTGCTTAAGACCTAGCCCTGGGATAAGAGGGCCAGTGTATTGAGACAGTACAAGGCAACTCTTTATTGTTGTAAAATCAAAGTGCTCAAGTCGATTGTTTCTCATTTGATCAGTCTGCACATTCTCCATGATTGCCAGGTCTACAAACCAGTTAAAGAATAAACTTGGATTTAAACTAATAATAATAATCATAAAATCTTTAAAAATTCAAACATTCCAAATGAACTGGTTTGGTGGTTTAAGTACCCTTCAAGCATTATTAGGGGCTGCAAGAGAGAGAGTGATCTCAGACAAAAGAGGAGAATACAATCCCTGAACTGATATGTACAATTGAAATGGATATGGTAAACACCTCTTCATTCAGGAAACCAAGTATATGAATGCTGTATCTCAGTAGCATGCTGCAAAATTGGTAGCAGTTCCTTTCACATTTTTAAAGGCAGACAACAGTTGCATCAAGTTCCACATGACCTTCAGACTACTGCTGAAATACTATATTTCTAGGAATAATGTAAGAATGAGCAAGTTGAGGAGTTCATCTTAAAACACAGCGTATTCTGGATTTATGAAAACTGTTAGAATAGGCTAGAAAAAAACTGAAAGGAGAGGAAGGAAGGAAAAGTTAAAACCCTTCACTGGACTCTATTCATATGACAGAGCGTAGGGTGGGTGAAAACAGAACCAAAAAAGACACCGTGAAGTGTTCTTCTTTTGAGTGCGAGAAGAAATAGCAAAGAATCAACAATAACAAATCAACTTAGGGTTTGCAACAAATACATCAACTGCAAACAACCTAAGCAGTGTTCCTCAGTGTTATATTTGCTATATTAGTAAAGTTAAGCTTCAAGGAAAAAAAAGATATAGATCATTGCACGTTATCAGCTGCCAGAAATGCAGCTTCAGCTTTTGACACTTGAGAATCCAATAACCAGATGCTACACCACAGGCAGCTTCTTTACTGTGCATCTTGTTTGGAAGCTTTATTCACACCTTCACCACCACGCTTCAGGTCAAGTGATGTGTGATGGCACGGAGGGCATAGAGGAGCTCGGCTTGCATGCGGGCCTCCATAAGAAGAAGATTCACGTGAACCTGTTCAAAAGATGTTTTTAATAATGTAAGAAACATGTAGACATTGCAGCTCTGTTGAGCTCCTCATAGGTAAAGGTAAAGGTTCCCCTTGACAATTTTTGTCCAGTCATGTTCGACTCTAGGGAGCAGTGCTCATCCCCGTTTCCAAGCCACAGAGCCAGCGTTTTGTCCGAAGACAATCTTCCGTGGTCACATGGCCAGTGTGACTTAGACACAGAACGCTGTTACCTTCCCACCAAAGTGGTCCCTATTTATCTACTTGCATTTGCATGCTTTTGAACCGCTAGGTTGGCGGGAGCTGGGACAAGCGACGGGCGCTCACTCCGTCGTGTGGATTCGATCTTACGACTGCTTGGTCTTCTGACCCTGCAGCACAGGCTTCTGCGGTTTAGCCCACAGCGCCACCATGTCCCTGCTTTCCTCATAGTTTCCTAAATTTAGTTTCCTAAATTTTTAATCGTTTTTGAGCTGAGAGTGTGATCCTTAAAGTGACTCCTTCACAAGTGCGTGTTCACATGCTAAATGTAGCATGAAGTGGTGATCTGCATGTGTGCAAACATTCACAAAGCTACAACCAGACTAACTACCTATCATCTGAAACCAAATAAAAATTCCCCACAATGATGCAGCTTTTAGAAGGACAAACTATATGTAACAGATCACCTGTCATAAGAACAGAAATCATATTAAATCTCCAAATGATTCTTCATATCTGAGAAATCAGACTTAAAAACAACAGGCTTACATCATGGAAGATCAATTACAAAACTAAGTGAGTTAGTAATTTGCAAATTATAGGAGGTGGGAAAAGCTTCTACTTTGATAAGTGCTCACAAAGAGCACTTAAGGAATTTCCTTTTCTAGTGACAGGTTATTTGTTGCTTACCCTCTGGGCCTCAATGCTGACAGGCAGGCACACTGATGTCTTTCTCTTCGTACCAGTGCAGATAATTATTGTAATACAAGCTTTTACTCTGTTTATGGGTATATTCCATGCCAGTGCCATTTTCCTTGTTTGTGCACACATGGAGAGATTTGTGCTAATATGTCTGGTGAGACACTCACCTTCTCCGAGTGCTTGAACTGACGCCAGTAGCCATCATACATGCGCTTGGTAGTTCTCTCTGGGTAGCAGGTCACTGTCTTAATGTAAACCTTCAGGTTCCGTTCAAGTAACTGATTAACTTCTCCATAATCATAGTCATCATACCTAAGCAAAATCAAGTCATTTGAATCTCTCTCTTTTTTGTGCACATGTGACTTTAAACGGAAATTTTACATTGAACAGGGTTTTAGAAACTGTGGACTGGACTATGTCTGGCTTATGACTTTCAAAATACTGCTATAGAGTTGCTCTATGGTCAAAACATAAATTAAGCTTATTTGAAAATAATCTACTTTTATGTAGTTCTCAGGGTCCAAGTCACACAATACAAGACAGAATTTAACCTTGTTCTCCTCTAATGGAGATGAAATGTACCTCTGAGGAAAGAGCTAGTTGGATTATGTATATTTCTCATTTAAGTTAATAGGGAATTCCTCCCAAATCACACAGCTCTGGAGGAGCAATTTTCATCGCAGCCACAAGAGGGGAGGAAAATGCTACTCTCTATCTCCTGATAGAGTACTGAAAACGATCAGCATTATAAAATATCATGCAGATCAAATACAAAACCTTTTTGAACATATTGGCTGAAATTCTGTTGCTAAGCATATCAAGTCACCAAATCCCTATTGAATCAGCGGTGATTTGGTGAGTCAGCTCCTCCATAAGGTCCACTGATTCAGTGGGCCTACTTGAGTTGCAACTTACTATACTAAGGAACAAGATTGTAGCTCTTGCACAGTTTGGCCCCAACTGGACCAAAGTATTGCTGGTCCTTTAACCTTTACTCCGTTCTGTTAAACATCAGCTGTTCAGCTGAAACAAAGATGTGTAAATATACCAACACATCTGATTTGTTTTTACTTCTGTTCTTTCCCAGAATTTCTTTAGTCGGATCAATCACACATTTTCTTGCTCAGTGGCATCTTGAAAAATGTGTTAACTTTCAAAATCCAACTGCTATTCAAAACATTTTGCTGAAATTGCAAAGGTCCATTCATTATACATAACATACATTCAGGATGCCTCTAGACTGGAAGTGGCCAAAGCGTGGCACTCTAGAAGTTGCTGGATTGTGACTGCTGTTGCTATGCTGGGCTAAGACTATGGAAACGTCAACCTAACAACTCCTGGAAGACTGCGCTTTGCCAACCCCTAGTCCAAACATAATAACCAAAATTATCTGCTACATACCTGATTCCAAACATACAGTGGACATAATTAAATAAAGCTCTTCTTAACATGGTTGTATCAACATCTTCATGGGTGGCCATAGTGTTGTATGTGAGGTTATAGACCATTCGGAATTTCTCATCTAGCAGATGGCCAATGTCAGAATAAAGCCTGTTCACAAGGGAGAATCCATGATTTTCCCAGGTGTAATCCTGTACAGGCAAAAAGACCGAAATATATAGACATTTGAGCTGAGAACAGTTATGCAGGCATATAGTGCAATTCTACTTCTATAGCTAAGCAGATCTTCACTATAAAGTGGGAGCCACGAGACCTGCTCTGAGCTATCAGGATAACAAGCAAGGTGTAACTGGAATGAATAAATATGCTTATTTATACTACCCTAAAAAGACTCTTTTCTCCTTGTCACTCATAGAGCCACCTTAAAAGTGCAAGATCAGCAAACGGAACAATCCTTCCTGGACTCTTCACCATTTTAGAAAGCAAGCTAAAAGAGTGTATGTCTAAATGAGCCTAGGAGAAGCTGTAGCATAGTGCGGTAGCACAAACTCCTTCCCAGAGATGGAGATGCTCGGACACAGAGGCTGGAGCTCATCTTCCTGTGCTTCCAAACCAATTCTCTGAATTGCCACACCCCTTTTGCCACGACACAATTATTTGGTGGTTTCCTATATTTGTACTGCTTTTGTCTCCTTCTGAATGGCTGAAATGCCTGTCCTCAGGTTCAGTTGTTGGCAGTAACAAATGTTAACATGCTGGTATTTTTGATCCTACTATCTGGTCCCTTGGTTCCACCCAATCATGGAATGAGGTCCCCAAGAATTTCTCTGAAATTGATTTTGCTTTTTGGGCTGAAAGAGGTTCTCTACAATTGCTCTGTGAACCGCACATCCATTCAAAGGTCCCATTATATTTGGGCTGTTTCATCCTCCTATAGAAGGCCTTCATCTTATCCCATTTTGTTTAAGATCCCATCCCCCTAACCCAGAGTTTGGAGATATCTTTTTAAGAAGAATGAATATAATGACCACTGAAGCCAGACATGTTTGAACATTGGTAAAGTGATATTGTGGGCAGAGCACATCCTATCACTGCTCAATAATGAGGAAGAGGGGATGGTAAACTTTTCTTTGGTAAAAAATCCTGCTGCCTACTCATATGAAATCCCATTGAAATTTCTGTTATTCTACATTTCTGTAGAAAAGAAGAAGGCAGAAGACTAGCACAGGTCCCCCTATATACAGTGGTGCCTCGCTTAACGAGGATAATCCGTTCCAGCAAAATCGCTGTAGAGCGAAATCCTCGTTAAGCAAAAATAAAAAACCCATTGAAATACATTGAAAACCCGTTCAATGCATTCCAATGGGCTGAAAACGCACCGTCCAGCGAAGATCCTCCATATGGGTGGCCATTTTCGGTGCCTGTAATGTGAGGAATCTGTCCAAAAACACAGCGGGGAGCCATTTTATACAGCGGGCGGCCATTCTGAAGCCGCCGATCAGCTGTTTTAAAATCATTGTAATGCGAAGAATCGGTTCCTGAAGCAGGGAACCGATCGTCGCAAAGCAGATTTTGCCTATTAAAACAGTCATCGTATAGCAGTTTCGTCGTTTAATGAAGCAATCGTTAAGCGAGGCACCACTGTACATTTTGAATTTGCTTTTCCAACAGAGACAAATGCACATCCCACATGTAAAATTACCTGGGCTCGGAATGTTGGTAGGTCACCTCGCCTAGCAAAGTCCTTGTATCCAAAACTTGTGTCTTCAACATATCGAGAAATGTCGGCTATGGAAGCTATTTCATCATCAAAGGCTGAGAAAGCAAATTAGGGAAGGCATGAATACCATTTTCAATTTCTCCCCAAAAATTCTCCCTAGTGATCCGTGTAGGCGCCACACTCTAGCCGCCTAGAGTGGTCACAATGACCAGATAGGCGGGGTATTAAATAAATAAAATAAATA